AGCACCGCTCCGGCCCGTTCGGACCCTCCGCCACCCCCGCGGTGCTGCTGCCGTCCCGGCCCCAAGGCGCGAAGGAAGGGGACGGCGCACTGCGGTCAATGTAAAACCATTTTTTAATTCTAAATCACTTTCACAACAGTGAAAATTAGTGAGAAGGAAGGTAACGCACTGACCGGGCCAGGTGCTGTCAGGGAACATACAAAAGCACACAGGGTAAAGGGGGAACCAAGCGTTAACACTTTTCGACTATTTAATCCGTGAATCGCCAGAAAATAAGGGCTCTCAGTCATGTTTGTGCAGCCTTATATAAATCCCTTATATCTCTCACCCATAAATGGAAAAAATCCAACCATTAAAATTTTGTATTTTAAAGCGTGTTAAACGTTTCAATACCTCTTGAACCTCTTACAGTAACTTCTCTGTCCTCTTTATGGGAAAAAGGCTTCACAGGGATACTCTGATGCTCACTGGATAAGCTCTGCCCTCAGCATCGAGTTTCTCCACACGAAGAGGTAGAAACCATCCCACCCCATGAACCTTCCCTTCCCAGCAGCAGGTGGTGCTGGCTGCGCAGGAGAGGAACCCGACGCTGCCACACTGTAGACAGCCAGCGGCTCGTAGGAATGCAACGAACAGCCTTTCTCCTGGAAAGGGCCCCAGGAACAGAGTTCCACACGTGACAAGAACCCTGTGTCGAAGTTCATCTCCTCACAAGTGCTGTACAACAAAAACTGAAGCACCACTTCAACTATAAACAACTGAGCAATATATTCCGCCAGATTATCATCAAGTCAGGTACAAATTTGACCAGATGTGGCAAAACACTGCAGAAGCTTTGCAACATTATACTTGCCAGATGGAATTTTGGAGGTAGGCAAGTTAAACTTCAATCATCCTCTGTCTCGACACTAAAAGTGCACAGTTTATAATTACATAAATAAGCTTCTACAACAATTAACGTGTCCTGCCCAGGAACCTCTTCCATACACTAAACCCCCCCCCCAAGCTATTGAAACAAACTTTCTATTAGTCGATTTGTATTGTCAGTTCTCTGTCTATTGCCAAGGAAGTCACAATATTCATCTTGCAGGAAATCATTCTGACTATCAATGACCTGAATCAAAATAATCTAAAAATAATAAGAGGAAAAAAATTGAATTGTCTAGTCAGAGAAATATGAACTGTTCATCTTGCTTGGAAATCTCTTGTATCCGCTGTCCTGAAGGAATCTACACAAATACATCAGGAGTACTCTTTAAAGCTGAATACCCACTGGGTTCCAAAACGGCTACAGAGTGCTCATCTTCTCAGATATCCCCTCAGCACATTAATGCTTGTGGTCTCCTCCAGCACTTCAAATTAAAATCTTTGGTAGATACTGCAGAGACTCTTGCACTGTAGCCATCCTGCTGTGGCACAGAGAAGCTGTGTGCACCTGCAGAGAGAACGTCTTCCACATGTTCCCCACTATGGCATGTGCTGGCAAAGGCAGGATCTCGTTTTTCCTCCTGTACAATTTTACAGCACATCAAGTTTAGCCTCAAAACTCATGCAAAGATGCTTTTTGTTCCTCTCCCCAAACAAGCTGACCTCAGATCTGTAATAGGATTTTATTTGGAGTATATGACCTTGTCTCAAAGCCTTGGGAAAGATAAATGTCGCTACAGTGAGGAGAGTGTGAGGGAATTATCCACGAGTGCAGCCCCAGGCCACGGCGCAGAGCCACGGAAGACAACACTGTTTGTCAGCCAGGAACTGGGCTGGGTGAGGCAGGCAGCTGTCCCCACTGTTCGGCAGCCCCCCCGGCTCCACAGCCAGAGAATCCTCCAGTGCCTGGCTCCAGCACCTTCTGGCTTTACAAAACTGCAGCATAAGTTTGTATCCCTTCTAACAGCTGAGTCAGGAAGGGCTTTCCATCATGCCCAGAAATAACAGCAGCGAAAGAAACCAGTCTCCAGGCCTGGTTCCATTTGCATCAAGTGCTGTGCCCAAAGAGTCTCAGCAGTGCTGCAGATGATTTCCTGGAGAAGACTGGATGTTGATGAAGACATTAAATAACACCCACAGCTCTGGCAGATCCATCATGGTTGTAAAGCATGAGATACTGGTCACACTGCAGACGTTTCTTACCTGCCCAGTGTACCTTGGGGTAACTGTTACACAGACCTGGTGTCACTGATTGGCACAGGATTTCAAAGCAGCACTCCCTTTAGGAGCACAGCTCAATGCTAGGTCCATGGTTTGTGGCAGGAACCTGTTGTCCAAGATATCTGAGCTGAAATACACTTTTTAACCAATGTTTAATGTCCAACTCTGGTGCAAAATGCGAGATTCCTCATTGTGCTGTGGTACCACCAATTCCTGAAGCCCATAGGTAGCTACGGAACCAAACACCAAGAGTTTTAAAGTGGGATGGGGATGCAGTTTGTAACTGTTTCAGTGGCCTTGTTGGTCATGAATATATAGAATAATGGAAAAGATTTACGCAATCAACAGCCAGAACATTATCACCAGTGCCACGAACAGGAAGAGGCGGGAAAGGAACTGCTCATCCACATATTGAGGAGTCCCTGGAACAGCTGGAAAACAGGAAGTAAAAAAAAAACCAACAAAAAAACCCAGTTCAGCTCTTTCCTCTTCTCCAGGACTGTGTATATTCTGAACATAGTCTATTCATAAACTGAAAGATATGCAAGGAATCTACTTGGTGAGAAACTTGCTATTCCCTACCCTCAGCTTGGCCAGCTGCACTGGAAGACAAGTATCAGGTCCCCAAAGCAGGACTTGTGGTAAACCTGCCCATGACTAAGAGCAGCAGGCAGCTCCAAGTGCTGCAGCACACACAGATCTGCTTGAAGCATTTCTGGGGACACTGCTGAGCCAAGTTCACTGCTCACATCCTAAGGAACTCCACTACCTCTGCCTGAACAAGGAAGTGGTAAAACGGTCAAAGCTGTGTGTATAGCCTTGGCCAAGAGAAGCGACGACAAGCTAATGAGCTCTAAAGCTGAAGCTGTGCCTTTCTGGAACTGCTGTATTGAATCCACAGATGAAAAGCAGATAAAGGAGTTGGTTAAATCATGGCTGTTACAACAGCCTATGTTTACATACTCCCTAGCTCAGTCACCACCCACACCAATTTTCAGGGGTCACTGAACTATAGTTAGTAGGGGAGGTAATTTAACCCAAGCACAGCACAGGACTGTGGCAACACAGGTAAGACATGAAGGAGTTTGTTCCTCATAATTCCTGTGCCATATGACAGGGTGGAAGATTTGCCAGGCACAACCTTTTACAAAGGAAGTCCAGAAAATCTTGGGCAGTAGGTTTTCTTGTTCAAAACACTCAGACTCAGTTTGTCTACAGTGCAGATGGGGAGGAGGTTTCCTAGGGATTACTTAATTCTTAGACAGCAAGGTCACCACTTGGAGTAACCCAACTGTTTTTTGTTAATTAAAACCAGTGAAATCATTTCACCGGGAAACTACTTCTTGTGGCATACAGATGGCTGTCTCAGAGATAAATTTGTGAAAAAGGAACAATCTTTGCTGTCATTATTTTGTGGTACACAGCACCAGTTTAAATGTTTCCTTCCCATCTGTCAGGAAATGGTCCTTTCCTGCTCTTTTCAAAATCATCATCATAGAATCATCATAGACTTTAGGGGCTGGAATGGACCTTACAGATCATCTAGTCCAACCCCCTGCCCTGGGCAGGGACACCTCCTCATGAGATCAGGTTGCTCAAGGCCTCATCCAGCCTGGCCTTGAACACCACCAGGGTCAGGGCAGCCACCACATCCCTGGGCAACCTGTGCCAGTGTCTCATCACCCTTACAGTAAAAAACCTTTTTCTCACATCCAAAATCTGGGTCTCCATCATACTGACTCCTTTTTATATTATTAGAAACTCTAGTCCAATTTGTCTTATTTTTCAGAGGGAGTCTGCTGGAGTACCAGAGGAGACATTGGACTTACAGGAGAGAAGTCTCCAGTGCCACAGTCCCTCTCCAGTGCCACTGACCTCTGAGGAGAGTCTTCAGCAAATCACATCTAAGTGACAAACGAGCTTGTATGAGCCCTTGTACAAAATGTGTCAGCCATAGACCATGTTCTCTCCAGGGTGTTTGCCCTCATTCTGTGTTTCTATTGACAGCACTGGTTACTGCTCAGAACATCTGCCATTTAACAGGCTGTTTGAGAGTTACAAGGGAGTTTGTAAAACACCTCTTTGTGACAGGCCCCAGGGAGAAGATGAGATATGCGGTACCTGGAGGAGGTCGCCCGTCGTTTATGTTGAAGGCTGTTGCAAATATACCAAAGGGAAATGCCCCAATTCCAAAGGACATCTGGAAGCCACCGTCACCAAACCCAAAGCCCTGGAATCCCTGCAGAGAACAGAGCAACAGAAGACAAAAAAGGTACCAATCATTTCAAGCCTATTTCAGAACATTTTGTGGGAGTGCAGACATTCCCTCTCACTGGCTTTCCTGCAGCTGAAGGAGGGCCATGCTGTCTGGCAACTTTCAGTCTGACACGTTATTGTAGACACCTCCTTAGTTGTCCTGGTTTTAAAATATTTTACACACTAGCAAACTTGCCAGAGCAACCCAAAAGAGTGTGAGAAAATGAAAACTAGGAACTGCAGTTTTTGCTTGAAGGCCACAAATTAACAGAAGTGTTTCTGTAACGTTTCTCAACTTAAAGTAGTAGATATCTGCCAATAGATCAAAATCAACACTACCAGTTCTATTTGGAATGTCTTAGCAATGTGTGTATTAATAGCTATTAGCCACGTAAGAAAAGCAGTTGAAAAAAAAAATCTACACTGACTTTTGTGATACGTGGGCATCAATTAAACACTCAGTGCAGTGATAAATTGCCAGTGGGATGCACAGAGCATTATAAAGAATAGTACCAAAAAAGTTTACCAGGGGGACTCTAATTAAGGTGGCAGAGTCACCTGGGCCAGGAGTGCAAGACAGAGACAGGAAGAAAAAAAGGAAGAGTTACAATGCAATGACATTGGCCCCATGGGATCCAGACTAAAATACCACATTAAATCAAAAGATAATCTTCTGAATCGAGGAGAATCTCGCTGTGCAGAAGCAGTGTGTACTGGAGAATCAGCTGTGTGTGAACCCGTGTAGCTGTGTCATATTTAAAAACCATGGAGAGCTCACAGTTCTGTAACGCAGCAATCTGTCCTCTCATCTCGGAACAGAAACCAAATCTGAAAAACCCCTGGTCTGGCACCTCCCAACAGTGGGTGGACAAAGGTGATGTCACTCATAATAAAAGCCAAACATTTCTGGGTTGAGCCTTGATTTGAGGAGTTGCTCTCTTGACTATGACTCTTCTCAAGCATTTTGCCACTAATTATGAGGGACAGCAAAGCACTTTGCATGGCAGGTACAAGTGCTTGTAGGAAACAGGAGGGAAGCAACACTATTGCCAAGTCTTCATACCAGATTCCTCTGACTTACAGCAGCACCAGTTAAAAGGTTCAAACAAAGTATGGTAGCTGATTTAGTAAGGCAGCAACTCCCCAGTGAAAGAGAACAGCTGAGCTCTCAATGCATTCCATACAGAAATGTGCCTTAATCACACCCAGCAGAGTTGTTTGCATGAAGCACGAGGTAGACAAACCCTCTCTGAGGACCTCAGGCTGAGTTACATGGAAATGTGCAATTGTTTCATCAGGTCATGTTCACTGCCACTGTGCTGAAGGACATTGTGATCTGTCCTACTACCTACTCCCACAGCTGCTCAATCTACACCAGCTGCTATTTACATACATTCTATGTAATCTCCTCATCAAAACCACAGAGCTCTCTTCACATTAACCTGTCTCCAACAGATAGCTACTTTCTTGTCCTTGTAATGCCATGGTAGAGTAACATCCCATAGAAACTACAGAAGCAAGTGTCTGCCAAAAATCTAAGTTCATACATGGATTATGTATTTCCATGACAATTATATTTTGATAGAAATATACTTCCACAAAGATTTTTCAACACAAAGTGTTCCTTGTATTTAGACATGGAGAATGATTAAGTATGAACAACTCTATCAGTGCTGCCACAAGAGCTGTTTTCATGAAGCATGATCCAAGTTAGTCCATTCTTTGGGATGTTAAAGAGTAGTATAGGAATGGAATTTTCTGCCATACCACAGCTATCAGTGATTCATGAACAACCAACTGGGGAGAGCAAGAAGTGTAAGCTCTAGGGTCCTCACATAGGATCTCACACACATTATATCCTCCAGAATGAATAAATACCCCTGTCAAAAAGAACAACTGATCAGCTCAAGCTTGTTTCTTCACTTACCCCTCTGTTCTCTGGTTCAGGTCTCTGTCCTTGGGGTCGTGGTGGAGTCTTCTCTCTGCAGGAAGTTGTGACATCAGCTCAAGTGCAAGGACACATGACAGCAGTATCTGCAATAACCTGCCTGATAAGGCAGAACCACCACAAAGCACAGCCTCACAGAGCCATGCTGCAGCAGAGCTGGAGCAGTGTGTGTGTGAGGCGACCTCCCAACTCCTGGACCTGCAGCAGCACAGGGCTGAATTACTGCTGCACTTAGGAATAGCAAAGTCCCATTGCAAAGGCTCAAAACTGAGGACTTGAACACTTTATATAAGCTTCTCCAGTCAGATAACAATCACTGCAACCCGTCACTTGTAACTGATGATTACCCAATTCAAATTCAAATGAATTGCCAGTTGAACAAGGAATAAGGTGTGCAAACCCAGGCGCTGAAAAAGCCAGAATATCTGCCAGAAATGTCAGTTCTGTCTGGCTTTTGACGAAGTATTTCAAATTGTGAATCCACCACTCTGACAGTTTAATCTTAAGACTATAACCTAAAGTTTAATCTTTAGTTTTCACACAAAAATGTTTGTGTTTATGTTTCTTACCTGGGGTCCTGCTGCCCAGTGCTACCTCTTCCATACAGAGGAATAACTTTATCTCGACTAATTCCTGCTTTGCACACAGGACACACTTGTCTGTTTGGCCTGGTCTCTAGCCACTAAAAGAAAGGAAATTACAAGAAATGTAATAGAAGACCATGAAAATGACAATATGCAAACCTCATTTTTAGCCAGGCAGAGACTTTAGCAATCTGTCACAAAGCCATGGAGCAAAATATCATAATAAGCACCAAGTACTCTCCAAAGTGCAGTTGGTACTTTGGCTGTTGTTCTGGTACGATCCACTTGCTGATGTGCACATACTCAGAACTGCACTGGAGGAAAATATGAAGAAATAAACAATGCCAAGAGTCCTGCATAGGTCAAGGGCTAGTGTAGATACCTCCTTTCATCTACCTTTTCTACAGTGGCACCAGAAGGTAAAATAGTACATATGAAAAGAGAAGTACACTCGGCGCTTAGGTCTGCAAACTAACCCACTGTGAACTGCCTACAGTAATTCTGCCAAAACTGGAGATACTCAGGGTTTAAGAAGCTCAAAAGTGGGAGGTAAGTGGAACAGAATTAAGTTTTCTTGTTGCTGAAAGAGCAGATTGCAAGGTATTGCACATGAAGTTGCATTAGCAGGTTGTGATTGCCCTGGAGAGAAAAGCAAAGCGTGTTTGAAAAGAGGGGGATACTCCAGAGAACCAAGGGCTTTATTGAGCAACAGCAGCTGATGAAAGACAAAGTAAAAGGAAACCTGTCTTACCTGGTGTAAACAAGGCCAACTGTGAGCATTCCCAGGACAATTTGTTCACAGAGCAGAAATAGAGGGGAAAAGAGAATTAGTTACTGACAACTCGATCCAACAAATGTATAGTGTACACAGACAGCATAGCCTGGCAACAACAGGATCCTGGAATCCAGCTGGACCAGTTCCATAGCCTCCCATTAAAATGACTTTTGAAAGCACAACCCAAGACTGATCTCCACTGCTCTTTCAGGTTACGCAATCTCAGTTGCTAAAGAGATTCTGTGCATATACCCTTGGATTCCTGGTCCTCATCCATACCAAAGGCCCAGGCAGAAGCTGCATTAACCTTAGGCTCTACTGTGCAAATTTTCTCTGCTGATACCATGAAAAGATATCCCTGAGCTGAGATGCAAATGAGCAAGATGTCAGTTATGCGACTTCAGATCTTAAATGAAGTCAGCAAGGGACATTTAACTGGAACACCAGCCACATTCACAGAATCATGGAATAACCCAGGCTGGACAGTGGCGTCTAGCCCAGCTTGATGCTCAGAGCAGGGTCAGTTATTGAGATCACACCCAGTTGCTCAGAGAAATTCCCATTACACAGACCTGCTCTTAAGAGTAAATTAATAAGGCAAAGACAAACCAGCAAGCTACAAGATAAAACTGCTAAAGATAATACTGCTTTCAAAATGGTCTCCACAACTCTATTCAGACAAGATACATGCTATTTTAAAGGTTCCATTCTTCCAAATCCTTTTGTGCAATAATTTAATCTAATTTTATCTTAACATGCCATCAGCCAGCGATTCTCCATCTGCTTAAATAAAAATCTGGATTTTCAGATGTTACATACATTTATACACAGAAAAGAAATGCTCTTTTAGGCCTCTTTTATTAAAGACTTAGACCATTGTGTAAAACAAACCCCAAACTCCCACATTTGGCCATGTCAATCCTTAATAGCTTCTAAACAAAAAAAGTATATTCAAACTAAGTTACCCAAACCAAAAATGCTCTGTGTGTATTATACCTGTGCTGTACATTATTTCCAAGTCAGATCAGAGCCAAGAAGTTCCTGTTACAACTGCACTACCATGGGAAAAGAGAAACAGCACACATGTAACAGCTTATTGCCTATTTTTTTCCTTTTTTT